AACTTCAATGTCTGCTTCCTTAATAGATAACATTATGACTACGGACACTTTTAATGAGTCCCTCAAAAAGGGTTTAATTAAAAGCGATGCTTCAGATCATTTCCCAACTTTTTTCTCGATAAATATTGATATTGACTTAGTACCGAAACAAAATCAAGTTTACTTCAAACGATGCTTTAGCCAAGCAAACATAAAGTCGCTTAATGAGCAACTATCCTTACTACACAGGAAACATTTAAATTTTTCATCTGAAGCAAATCTAGTTTATAACTCGTTCTTTAAAACATTTTTTGAAGTTTATGACGCAAACTTTCCTCTATGCGAAGTAAGTCAAAAAAAAAGCATTAAGTCGCCATGGATTACCAAAGAACTTAGAAAATTGTCCAAAATTAAACGAAAATTGTATATTAAGTATCTAAAAACAAAAAGTGATAAAAATAAAGCGATTTATAAAAATTACATTAAAAATTTTAAAAGTCAAAGAAAAAATTAAAAAAAAAAAATACTCAAACCTACTTGAGAAGTTTAAACATAACTCAAAGCGCAAGTGGCAAGTTTTAAATGAAATCACTGGTAACCATAAGATTAAAATATGCAACTTACCAAAAGTTATTAGAAACAATGACGATTTCATATATAATCTAAATGATATAGCTAATCAGATAAATAACTATTTTGTATCTGTTGGTCCTAATCTAGCAAAAAATATTCCAGTTGTAAACAACAAAACAAATTATTTTAGCCTTCCCAAAATTTCTGTACTTAATAATTTTGAAATTTCAATGAAAGAATTTGAATAAGCTTATAAAATGCTAAAAACAAATAAAGCGATAGGTCAGGACGAAATAAATAGTAACATTATTATATTATCTTACGAGATCATAAAATCTATACTATTCAAAGTGTTTAGTTACTCAATAAAACAACGAATATTTCCTGACAAACTAAAGATCGCTAAAGCTACACCAATATAAAAAGGTGGTGAATTATCAAATATAACTAATTATCGACCAATATCACAACACTGTTTAATGAAATCAACATAGAACTTTCAAACTTCAAATTGGTTTGAGTCAAATAAACTATCCATTAACTTGGAAAAAACTAAATGGACTTTATTTCATTCAAAATCCCAAAAAAAACTTTTACCAAATGATATGCCTCATATATATATTGATAATGTTTAAATAAAAAAATCAAAAGTTATACATTTCCTTGGTGTTTTTATTGATAAAAATCTAACTTGGAAAAACCATATCAAAATTTTGCGCAATAAAGTTTCAAAAAATATTGGTGTAATGTATAAAGCAAGAAATTTTGTAAATAGACATTCATTAATCCAACTTTATCACTCGCTAATTCAATGCCATATAAACTATCCAAATATCGCATCGGGTAGTGCTAAAAAAATTCAATTAGATCCTCTATATCGGCAACAGAAGCATACATCACGTTTAATAAACTTTAAAGATCGTTATACTCATGCCAGACCTCTTTTATTGGAAATGAATGTTCTTAATATATACCAGCAAAATGTTTTTAATGTTCTTTTATTTATGTACAAATGTAAGATAAACCTAACCCCTGTATCCTTTCAAAATTTATATGCAATAAAACAAAAAAACAAATATTACTTAAGGAATGATAATCTTATTTATCTACATTATTCTCATACAAGTTTTGGAAGATCTTTTTTAACATATCGCGGAGCTCTTCTGTGGAACAAAATAGTTTTGAAAAATTTTGATTTTTCCCAAAGTTGGAGTTTTTTACGTTTATAATTAAACATAAAGAATGATATCTAAAATATATTATAAAAAAATCAATTTTTCGCGCGCAGTTTAAAATTTTGAACTAAGAAAAATAATAGACAATTCAAAACAAACTTTTAACAATAATAAGGATAAATTAAAAACAAATAACAAAAATTTATAATAGCAATAGCAATAATAACAGCGAAGTAAATAAATTTCAAAATAGTTATTAAAACAGCTAGTTTGAAATTTATTTACATAAAATTATTTATTAAATAAAAATAAATTTCAAAGTATTCTTTGAAATTTATAAACCTCGCTTTTACTAAACATTCTGGAAGTTTTCAAGTCTATTCAGATGAGAGCGCAAAAAACTTAAAGATACGCTGCTTTATTGCAGGATTAGCTTGCACAGAAAAAATTTAAGTATTTTTATAAATAAAGTAGAAAAATAATAAATATAAATGTTTAATTCGCATTTTTTGCATTATTAATTAATTCGCATTAAAGTGTTATACTACAATATTATTTAAATTAAAAAATACATTTTCAAAAATTTTGGAGGCCCTTAACAATATGGTACCCGAAGGTCATGGCCTAGTCGGGCCTATTGGATAATCCAGCACTGCATCTTGGTTTCGAATAGGATAGTGTTACTAACAAGAACTAGACTGTAACACTTCAAAAAACAAATTTAAATGAACGTATGACAGCAGAATTCGTTTTTACCAGCCATTAACAGTAGTTCATTTATATAACTCATTAACAGTTCTAAGGCTTTTATTTGGTCTTGAGCTGAACAAAAATAAAGTTTCCTTAGCAGTATAGACGCTATTGGAAGAGTAGTTTTAAAATCATTTTGTAGGTACGTGCTTATCCAATGAGTTACGGCACCGATTATGTAATCAAAATCTTCGACCATATTATCAAAGCGTGCTTAGCGTTTGAGTTGTAAGAATGTATTTTGTTGTGTTATTTTTAAGGATTTTATACCAGAATAGACTTTTTTTGAAAAGCGGAAGAGTTAATCTTCATTTTTGGATAGTTTTTTTTTGAAGTTACAACCGCTTACAATGAATTTACTTTTCTTAAAAACTTCGTTGTTGATCACATGTCAAATTAATATTGAAGGAATGTTGAGAACATTTTTGAAACTATTGAGAAAAATTTAAAAACTTATTTTCTACGTACATGCCAAATTTTATTGAAAAAGATTATGTAGCAGACACCTAATTTTTTGTAGCAGAATATGTACCTAAGTTAAAATTTTGTAAATAAAGCAAAATATTGCGCTTCTAGCAACAAAGTTCCATAACAAAAATAACGTTAGCCAAAACTGATTTTAAAACAGTTTTTAAAATATCAGTTTTGACTAACGTTATTTTTGTTATGGAACTTTGTTGCTAGAAGCGTAATATTTTGCTTTATTTACAAAATTTTAACTTCGCAGTCGCAGTATTTTTAAGCAATCCTTGCAATCAGATTTTGTTACTTAAATGAGCATAACTTTTTGTAGAATTATTATTTTGTTATGAAATTTTCACTATTGTAATGCTAATTTTAGCTTCTTTTTAATGTTATATAATAATCATATTTCAACTATTCTCCTTAACATAGTAAATATATATATCTGGCTGTTAAAAAAATAAAACTTGCTACTCACTAATATTAAAACAACACTTAGTGAAAAATCTTTTGCAAATTAAGTAATTGCTACATGGAACATTCTTGGCTTAAACTTGTTCGAGTGCATAATAGAGGGAAACAAAAATTAAATTTACACAAACTATGTAAGAACTGGGAGCTGATATTGTTACAATATTTTAAGAATCTATCCAGTATATTTACTGGGTAGTAAAGAAAAAATATAACAATAATAACATTAACTTGTATAAACACAGCAATTACACTTTAAATTGTAAAAACATATTAACAAAAATTATCAATTATAACTCCACTTAAATTACCATTTGACGTCATAAAGTACTCCAACATTTTTCGTAATTACACTCCTTCTCAATTACACTCCTTCTCGACCCTTATAGGTTTATATGACATCAATATATCATCCTCATTCGCAAAAAATATTACAGAGAGTTTATACTTTGGCAACACTTCTGTTGTTGAGGCGCGTTTATTCCGATTTGCTACAAATTTTTTGTAGCAAATAACGGTCTTGTCACAAAGCACCGCGGAAGTGCACCGCGTCACAGTAAGGAAGTTCACGCCTCCTTCCTTACTGTGACGCGAAAATATATCCACAGCTCGTTTCAAACCTGGATCTCCTTATAAAGCAGGCGCTCTAACCACTGCGCCACGGCCGCACAAATTTTTAAAATAATAAAAAATTAGCTGTCCAGAACCATAAAACAATTCAGGTTATGTCTGTTCCACATCCATCATTTTTATATATTTTTTTATATTGTCACTTTATTTCAATAATTTGTTAGTAAACGGTAAAAAATAAATGTTTTAAAAAACATGGCGTGACATTTCTCTCGGCGTTTTTTGAAATTTAGTTTATCACCCCCTCCCCATACGTGTAATCGGCAGTTTATTTTAGAGTTATTTTAGTTAAAAGAAATCAAGATTTAATTCAAGAGCTTTTGCGAAAATAATAAAATGCAAAACAAAAACATTTACTTATATAAGTATATATATTTTTAAAAAAACAAATATTTTTACACATTTACTTACAAATTAACAAAATACAATAGTAATTTTTTTTTACACCTTTATTTTAAAAATATGTCATTCGATTATTAATCTAAAAAATGTAATTCAAAAAATCAGTGACCCAAAATAAAAGTCATGGTAGGTCTGTTCCAAACCAACTATTAATATACTTGTTATTCAATCATTAATATATTTGTTTTCAATAGCTTTTAGTAAAATAGATTAATACTACAGTTTTGGTATAAACTTAAGTTAGACCATTAAAACTATTATTTTAATGGTCTAACTTAAGTTTATACCAAAACTATGGTATTAATCTATTTTACTAAAACCTATTGAAAACAAATATATTATTGATTGAATAACAATATTAATAGTTGGTTTGGAACAGACCTACCATGACTTTTATTTTGGGTCACTGATTTTTTGAATTACATTTTTTAGATTAATAATCGAATATATTAAATATAGAAATATCAAATAAAATGAACGAAATATAAAATATTAAATAATATAACAAAAAACTCAAAAAATATATCTTTTTAACAAATTACCAAAAATTTACTAATTAAAAAAAACATAACAATAGTCAATTTTGTTTTTCTATATTGGATATATACGTCATGATAAATCTAGAATAAAAAAGTAATGGAATTATGACATAATATAAAAAAAAAACACACACATCACATTCAAAAATTGGAAATCAATTTACCTGTTTATTTATGGTAATCTTTTGTGATATTGAAGTAAACTCTGTTTATTGAAAACCCAACTATAAAATCTGTGTCAAAGATCAAAAGTATTAACAATATTAAAGATAAAATCAAGTTAGGACATAAATTGCATTTATAGCAAAATGTTGTCTTGGCTTTTATTGAATGACTAAAAACAGTAAGTCTCTGTAATAAAAGTACCTATTATTCATTTCTAACGTTAGTCGCCAACGGGAAGATAAGCCAAGCTGTCTATTAACACAAATCACAAAAATAATATCACAGCAATACCACACATAAATAGGACATGTAGCATAAGACATTTGTAAGTACACAGCTCGGCTGACAAGACTATCAACCATACTCTACAGGTTGATAAGTCGCACCACTTTGAAAACACGGACCCAATATAGTATAAATACCTATACAAGCTATAAACACAAATAACCTTATATAATAGATACAAAATTACATTACACATATAAACACATACAACAATTATAAACATATATGACAAATGGGGCGGTTCGTAAGGAGGGGAGTGTAAAGGGTTTTCCACAACATAAAGCTAACTCCTTAGACTCTAACTCCCACAGCTGATAAATGTGCATTTGTACATTAGCATATAACACGTATTCGCAGTCTACAAACGACTTTCAAATTTTAAAAATCTTAAGACAATAATTAAAGAATATTAGAAAATATTACATTATTTGTGTAACATTTTCCACCAAACATTCCTTAAATGTTTATCAATTTTGAAAAACCAACTATTAAATGCTTTTTGAATGTTCTTGAACATGCAACATAAAGTTGACCAACATAAATTATATCTGAAAAAACTGTGTAAAACAGTTTTTTTAGATGTACACTAACTTTATAAAGTGTTTGACCTTGACTTTTATTTTGATTGATTATGCCAATAAAACTGACAGGTAAATGACAATGTTTTACAGCAAAAATTAAATAAGAATCTGATGGAGCAACCTGAATTTGAGTTTTCTATTCAAAGTCTGAACATGAAAGTTAATTCTTTCATTAAGGTCATCAGTCACAATTTGATCAGCACTTAAATAAGATTTAACATTTCTTTGTTTCATTTCATCATTGATTGATAATGGGTATATATTAAAATCAAAACTTAAAAAAACAATGGGGCTTCACAGAATAAATGTTTTTTGAAGTTGTTTTTCAATTTTTTTCCATAGATAATATCAACTTTGTTTTGGGATTTTCACAAATAAATTTTTTTTTTGTACTTTTTAATTTTTCTTTTTATTGTACTTTAATTTGGTTTTGCTTTTATTTTTAAATACTGTCCATTATTATTTTTAAATACTGTCCATCATCATATATATATATATATATATATATATATATATATATATATATATATATATATATGTATATATATATATATATATATATATATATATATATATATATATATATATATATATATATATATATATATATATATATATATATTGGTTAAGAATACCACATGTCAAAATAAATTTTATTTTGTTATACCGTAAAATGAAAAAAATTTAACTTATAATTTAAAAAAAAAAACGAAAAAAATGTGAAAAATTAAATAGGATTTTCCATTAAATAAATAGACTGCCAGCCCATACCAAATCCCTCAGTGAATGCATGTACACTCAACTGCGCCTATTCCTAAATTAGTAAATGTATGTATACTTCACTGCGCCAATTCCTAAATTAGTAAATGAATGTACACTTCTCGGCGCCTATCCCTAAATTTGTTAATGCATGTACATTTCTCGGTGCTAATTCCTAAGTCAGCCAGTGTATGAACACTCTATTGTGTCTATAAATGCATAAACACTCATTGTACTATCCCCAGCGCATATCCCTAAATAATTTAATCAAAAAATAAGCATATTAGAATAAAAAATATAAAACATAGCAAGTAACATCTCATAAAGAGCGAGAGAGATTCGTACCCGGAGCGCCCTGACAAAGTTTTTACAACGCTCTACTTTAGGCTACATAAACTTACAGTCTAATAATTTAAAAATAAATATATTTAGCTATTTTATTGTGACATGATCTTTTTAAACCAATAAAAAAAAACTTTCTGTAGGATAATTCTATTTTTCCGCTACCGACTTTCGGTAGGCTATCCACTGCGTATATATATAGGGTAGACCGTGGCGATTTTGCCACTTTTGCTGCTTTAATGTTGTCTGTTCATACCAATGGCAGAATAATATTGAATAAACTATATTTAGTTCAATAGCGTTTAAAAATTCAAAAAAAAAAAATTATTTATACCCATGAACACCGATTTGTGTTACACACTTATATGGGGCGATTTCGCCTAATTAAAAAGAGTTAGAGCTTTATTATATTTTGTCGAATTAAGCGCATTTTGCGCACATGTTAATGCAAAAGCAGACTTCACATGCGCATATTTGACAAGAAACGCATTGAAGCCAGTCTTCTGATTAATCCACCCAATGTCACACCGCACACACAGCAGTAAGTTGTTTTTTGTTTCTGTTATAAGCTTTTGATATACACGGTAGCTTTTGATTTAATAATGATTTTAATCCATGGGATTTTCTCTTTTTTGAGCGATATAATTTTATTTTATTGGGCAAAAAATTCCTTTTCTTTCTTGAGCCACTTGTTTTTTTTTTGTTTTTTTATATATCTGAGTGAGATTGACCATGCAGTGAGCAAATTGTTTTGAAGTAATCAACGACAATGTAGTTTTTTAGCATATAATTGAGTACTATACCTCAACCACTCAACCTCAACGTTTTCAATGGAAGTCCACGATCTGTAAAAATAAGTCTTTTTTACTTGTTCCTGTTGCTTTGTAAACACTAATTTTCTTTCTACAGAACTTAATTATTGACGTCCATTTATATTATCTTTCAGCGTTAATTACGGTACTTCAAATGTTTTTTGATGCCGTTAATATTTAACAGCCATCTCTAACAGCTTGGATAACCAATTGGAGATTGGTATCACTATAGGATTTCTTTTTCTATGGGAGATACTTGCGTACCATCTGAAACATAAATAATATACAGCGATATTATATAAACAATTTTATAAAATAATTGGACATATACCAGAAATTATCTTATGATAAATTTATTAGAAGTATTTTGAAGATATAATAAATCAACAGTTTTTAGACATTTAAAACTAAAGTACTTAGAGTTTTAGATGTTGGCACTTGGGATAAAAATGCAACAAGATAATTATTACCGATTATCATAATAACTATCTTTTTAAATATTAATGCTTGCATTTTATAATGGTGTATTTTAAACATGCTAATCGATATAGTGGCTATAAACAACCATCGATGGTAAGCATTTAATGAAAAGAAATGCAAATATAAGAAATGCATTCAATTGGAACAAATGACATTTTTAAATACAAAATTTAAGGAGAATTTTAGAAAACTATTTTTAAGCTAAATTATAAAGTACTTTAGTACTATAATTATAAAGTACTTAAGTACTTAATTAAAGTACTTTATATCTAAAAACTATTGATTTATTATATCTTTAAAATACTTCTAATAAACTTATCATAAGATATTTCCTGGTATATGTCCAATCATTTTATAAAATTGTTTATATAATAATAAATATTAATATTAAATATTGTTTAGAAAGCAAAAATATTGTACATTATAATTTAATTTTTTTAAATTATTATTCTTTCATTCTGTTGCAAAATCAACCCACAATATTCTACTTGGGCAAAATCTATTTAAATTATATACCACGAACGCCAGTTAAATAGTTTTAACAAATTTATGAAGCTCTCACCTTAGCAGTCATTTTCAAATGTAGTTTCAATCAACTTCACACAATTAATAATAATGCTACATGGAGCAAGAGTGACACGAAAATATAAATTAATAATATTAAACAGCAAATGTCATTTAAAATTTACAACAACCTATCAAATTAGGCGGCAACTATGATCAATCAATATTTATAAGGTTATAATTTTAAAATTTTAAATATTTTACATTATCTTAATATGGTGTTATACCAGAATAACATCTTTTTCTTGAAATATTAAAAGTGGCGAAATCGCACCGGTCTACCTTATATATATTTGATGGCTAGATTTTAAATTGTTTTCTATAGAGTAGCAAAGCATTATTAGTTTTATAATCGTTATTATATAAAAACATGGCCGTCCGAAACAAATATAAAACAATAATAAAATAGACACCCGAGGAAAAAAAAACTTCGAGTGAAAATGTTTTAGTTTTCCCTTAGAATACTTTTGGCTAACTTGGTTTAAAATGAAACATGTTGCTTTTTTCATTAATTTGAAGAATTAGAATTATACTATCGATTTGCAATGAGTGTAATCTAATAATGTTTCAAATAAATTATTCAAAGTTGATTTTTAACTTAATTACTCATATATAACAGCAGAAAATAATAATAAAAGTCAAAATATTTTTATAATAAATAACATTTTGACATGCCACTCTTTTCTAAGCTATAATATAGGTTACAAACAACATTGGAGAGTATGCAAGGTAAAACTTTTACCTCGTTGAGCGAAATAGACAAGTATATTAAGTAGTATATATGTAGTAAGCATTATATGTAGTAAGCATTATATGATAAGCATTGTATAGAAAATATGAAGATAAGCATTAATAAGAAACTATCGACGTTACGTCAAAAAGAAAGTAGTTTTTAATTTCAGTAGTAAAAATACATAAACATTTAAAAATCCAAGCGGGCAAGACCTTTGTTACTTTGTGTTCTTCTTCGAATTAACATTTTAATAGCCGCTTTTGACTTCAACTTTGATTTACCAGTAAGTGCGTAAAAAATCCTTTTTCTCTAGTTTTTACGTTGAATATATTATTTATTATATAAATTATGATCAACCAAAAACATATTATTCCGCTACTAATTTTCGATCGCAATCAGAAGATCTAAATTTTAAGACAAGCTATTGAATAAAACTAGATATTCCCTTGGACAATTTAATATAGATTCTAAAAATATTATATTAAATGAAGTGTACATTATGATACATAAATGTTCATAATGTGGTAAATTGTTCATAATGCTGCAAACTTTCTTACTTTTTTTTGTTCATGTTATAACTCATTTTTATTTATTTTAAATTTAGATAGTGAATAAATAAAAACTCAATAAAAAGAAAAAAAATAATATTTAAAAAAGCACGACTAATTTAAAAAAGGAAAATGTGAATGAGCTGACATCAGAGATAATGAATATATAAGATAATAACACAACGTTTGACGTTTATAAGAGTATGAGATTTTTAATATTTTAAAAAGACGTAAATAAATACGTGTTTCTCTTAATACTGTATTTATTTTTATAAGAAATTTTTGCTGGATTGTTGTGATCAGAGTCTTCAGTTTGAAAGTTGTTTGTTTGTTTTTCTTTTTGTTTTTTATTATTATTTTTAAAATAGCAGTTCTATTTTACGTCAACGGAATTTCATCTTTCTCTGACATAAATGCGCAAATATTAGTGTCAAAAATTTTGTTGACACATATTGTCTCTTGTCTACATTCATAACATTTTGTTGAGGAACACATTGGTGATACTATATTTCAAGTGCCATACGAACATTCCTGTCATACTTTTTAGTAATAATTTTTAAAGTTTTGAAACTGTCCCAGTCAACTTGTAAGGTGCATTTAAAGACTGTTTTATATCCTGCTCTCCTAAACACCTTATGTAATTTAGGAGACAATATTGGTACCCAAGGTAATGAAATAGTTGGATACGTACAGGTGTTTTTAATGTTTTTAACAATTACTAGTAATTTTTTGTTCTCGTGTTTTTCTTTTCTGTAATGAAATAAAACAAAAAAAATCATAACAGAAAAAAAAAAGTTATACGTATATATATATATATATATATATATATATATATATATATATATATATATATATATATATATATATATATATATATATATATATATATATATATATATATATATATATATATATATATATATATATAATATATATATATATATATATATATATATATATATATAAACACATCTGACATCTGCATCTACATATTACATTTACTTATTGCGTCAGTATAATGAAATAAAATAATACTATACATGTTTTAAAAACCATATTAAATAAGTAAAGATATTGCGTCAATATATGACATTCAATAATTAAGATTAACAAAGGTTTTTAATAATAGGATAATTATTGATTTGCATCAAAATCAAAGAAAATTTTGCTTTGTTGCGCGTTTGAAATGCTGGGTTGAAGTTATAGTTTTTATATTACTTTATTAGTTATAGAAGCAAGTTCTATAACTACGGCCGTCGGCAAGATATCGAAAAATCGGTTTTGATAAAGTTATTCATTAAATACTTAGTTTGATATTTGTGAATTATAGAAAAAAAGTAAGTTTAGAAAATGCTTGCTAGTACAACATTTTTAAACTTAAACATATTATTTCATAAACATTGAGCACTACAATTTTTGACACACTACTGTCTTGAAGAGATTAAAGTGAGGATTGAGGCGGTGGGGGGGGGGGGTTTAGGGGTGGAGGGATTATATATGTATTTTTTACCGAGTAACCACCAAAAAAGTTTTTTCATTAATTTGTGAATAAGACTTTTGTAGGGAGTGAGACTGTGTAGGGAGTGTCTCTACACAGCCTCATCCACTCTCGTAACGACAACTGTCGTTGCGCAGCCGTGGCGCAGTGGTAACGCACTTGCCTCAGAAACGTAAGATCCGTGGTTCAAACCCCACTTCTGGACAAGCTATGCGACATCGGTTGGGAAGGAGGCGTGAACTTCCTATTAAATGCTCTTCCGCGGTGCTCTGTGATAAGACCGTAAGGACTTCTTGGGGCACCTAGAAAAAAAAAAACTGTGCTTATAAAGTACAAATACAAAACAAGCAACTTACTTGTTATTGTATTTTGTAGATTGTATTTAATTTTGATGGATAAGATCATGCCCAGATTATGTTATATTAACTGATGTAGCTGTGAATAAATGCGAAATAAATATTTTTTAAACAATTTGTGTTCAGGAGATTTTTTCTACGACTTTGATATGAGTACCTCAGCTAAAATTTTTATAAAGAATTATCTATTTTCTAATTTAAAATATATATTCTTTAAGATCTGATGAATTATTCACTTGTAAAATGCCACGGAATTTAACAAAATATAAGGAATACAGTAGGGGAAGGTTGCGTAAGTTGAACATGTTTTTAGTGTAATGTATTTTGCTCCCAAAAGACTACAAAAAGATATATACTTTTTAAGAATAATGATAATTTAATCTTACCTCTCAAAGAAAATAAATGAATAGTTAATTTAAAAAAAAATCTTTATACCGAAAACTGCGTTTTCTTCAATACACTCAATCGTTTCATCTTAGGAAACCAGTTTCCTAAGATGAGCTTTTTTTAATGGAACTCAAAAGAACTCAAAACAACAAAAAAATAATCACAAAACAAATTAAATAAAACTGTATCTTCAAGGACTATACTTAAGTAAAAAGTTATCTTAACATTAAAAAAAAAACAATAATAAATCTTTCCTACCTCTAAAAAAGTTAACGACACTATTTATTGAAAAAATTTTAGCTCTTGAAATACCTAAATAAAGCTCCGCGGAGAAGAACTTCAAAAAAACGCGCTTTTCTTAATAAAAAGCCGCATCGCATCTTTAGCGTCTAATCTTAAACAACTTCATCAAGTACTATCATAAATTAAATAGCATGACAACAGCTTATGTATTAATTAATGTAACCCATGGAATTAGCAAAAGATATGCATAAAATATTGAGGATGTAATAAATTTTTGATGATCTTGTTTCGTTCTGACCTAATTACAAAATATTGAACAATATAAAATTAAAACGGGGAAGGTAAAATTTTTAACAGTAAAACAATCAAAGAATATTAGTTATACAACCAAGAAGTTAAAATAAATAACACTGTCAAATTTGTATGAATATCCATAACCAAAAAAGTTTGCGAAAAAATCATTAGTCTACCCGTAAAAGAGGTTATACCATCTTAGGAACCTGCTTATCTTACACAACCTTCCCCTATTACCTATAACGTATTAAGGACCATGATATTGAAGAGTTTTAAAAATAACAATTTTACTATGGTGAAATCAAATAACTTTTTTAGATTTCTATTAAAAAGAGAAATTAAAAAAAAAAAAAATTCTTTATTTAGCAAAGTGACGGCTACTTAAAATTTAACTTATGTACTTAACTTAATTTATTTTTATTTCTTATATTTTAAAGAAACTATATATTATAGTTTATCATATTATATTTATATATTTAATATATTTTACAATTAAATATTTAATATATAATATTTATAGCTATGTTAAACGATATATGTATAACGGCATTTTTATTTCTGTATTATTTAATTTTTTTAAATAAATAATACAGTAATAAGGATAACATATAATATTTTTACGGGAATGAAATTATTATATATTTGAAAATGAAAGTATAATATTTACATGGGAATATCTGTTATCAAACATGGTAGATAATCAAGGTCAGAAAATATATTTAGATCTAATGGAAACATTCTGGAGCATTTAAATTTCTTTTAGGCTATTTCATTAGAGCAGCTTATAAAAACATTCTTATATTATAGCAACCAATTTAAAAATAATACTAACTTTCAATGCAGCTACCAAATCTTTTACCAAAAAATTGATTTTTTTGCATGTTTTATTTGTAATTCTTAGCATTTCTAAAAAAATATATTATTCTAGATCAAAAGAAGCACAAAGAATTTCTCACCTCTTATGCAAAAACTATATTCTTAATCAAGAAAAAGCGATAAAACCTGAAAATAAATTAAAAAAACAGAATCTTTGTTTGAAATTTCTGCTAATCTTGTAGAATTAGATCGCATTCCTGATTATCACTGACGTTTGCATAGTATGGAAAAAATCTATATCAAGTGTGAAATGTTCATTAGCGAAATTTCACTTCTGGTGTTATTGATTTAATGATGGGTAGTTTTTATTTTGTGATTTAGTGAATTGTAAAATGATTTATTTTTAAGTTGATAATTTAAGAGTTGAAGTTTTTTTTTTAACTTATTTTCAATAAAAAAATTTAAATGGTTCTAAATGGTTTTAAATGGTTCTTTTATTTCAGTGATAAAAACTTTTAAAAACTTATCAATTTAATCATAATAATCATGCACCAATAAATTTAAATGGACATAGATGACTTTGAGTTAAAAAAAAATTATTTAGAATTTAAAAGTATTTTCCCCTTATATTAATAAAATTATTATTGTAATTAGGGGATCCAATACCGGACCAAAAATTGAACACCGGTTTTTTCGGTATTAGATTAAGTGAAAACCGAAATACCGGTTTTAATACCGGCATTTACTATTACTAAAAAAAAACATTATATGAAACCCAAAGAAACAGTTAAACGGTCCCAAAACTTTATTGCTTAAGTTAAAATAATAGATATAATTAATTGATTTCAAGCAAAAATCATAAAATAGTTATATATTATTAAAATAGGCTCGCAAAAAACATAAATTATTTAAGGTTTTGTTATTTAAAGATGATCGTATTTTTGTACATAAAATTCCTGATGAAAAGAAAGCCCGTTCAGCTTCTACGCTTGTTGGGGGAATAAATAAAATATAATCATATACCAATATCAAGTTGGTACCACGTGTACCGTCTTCCTCAAATATAGAAACTTCTTTTCGCACCATTTTAGTCAAATCGTTAATATTTCGCTTTGTTTTTGGTACTGTTTTCATTTTCATCTCATTATTTATGGCCATGTCTAGCTGCTCCTGTAATGTCAAGCTCAAAGGTTCGACTTTGCTCATTATAGTATCTTCGTCAACATCTGATTCTGATGGGAATGCTGCAGTTTCAGTTTGCTCGGATGAGAGCCGCTGGATGAGATACACAATTAAATTAACCAAAGCAGTTTAGTTAGCCGATTAACTATGATTTCTGAACTAAAAGTAGCATTAGCTGATAGTTGGTTAGCATCTCTCCGACATAAAGCCTCTACAGCCAATTTCACTGGAACAACATAGAAACTGTTGATAATATCAATTCTAATTCAGGTTCTATAAAATTAATAGCTGAGTTTAAGTCAATCAGGGCTTTTTGAACAGAATTTTTGGTTTATAAAAACGCTCTAGCATAAAAAGTAAGCTGTTCTATTTGGTCTTATTATCTAATATTAATGACAGTTCCTTACCATGTTCAGTTTTTACATAAACTTGAAAGATTTCATTTTTTGTCGGCGATTGTCTGAACAGCTTTACAACTTTTCTAACTTTGCTTATCAATGGAGCCAAATTATTTGCAAGTTCATTTGAATTTGGGGAGCTTTGAAAAGTCCGTCTAAATGCTCTTCATTATAGTCATCGGAAATCTCACCTGCACTATCTTCATCAGATTCAATATAATCATCGGTCAATTTTACAGTTGTTGCTTTATACAAGACATCAACCACAGCCGATTGGATTCCATGGGTTAGACAAAGTTGCTGTTCAACGGATATTAATCGTCCTACTTTCTTCATAACCGAAGTACCATCTGTGGTAATACATACAATATCGCAATCAATATTAAGGTTGTGTTCTTTCAGTAGGTTGTTAATTAACTTAACACGCATTTCTGCTGGGAAATGTCCATTAACTCTCGCTAAACCTAAATTCCAAAATCTATTTCAAGAATGAACGTTAATGTTCAAATAACGTCTATTTTTTACCGAAGTCCTCTCGTCAAACGTAAGACTTCCTTGTTCTTGAAGTTCAGATAATTCTATCATTATTGAGTTTCGAATTTTAGTAGCATATGCTACTAAAATTCGAAATAGTTATGAAATATATATTTCATAACTGTTTGGCGAATGGATTCAGATAATTTTGGCACATTGAAACCTCGAGCTACCAGCAATTTTCTTAACTTAATGGATGTTGTAAAAACTCTGAATGGCAAACCATCGACGGCCATCATTTTCGCTAAAACATTCGGCAGTGTATCATTGTCTTCGTTTTTAGTATAAAAAGTTGAAATTTTATTTCTGGGTCTAGTGAGTTGCAAATCAGGTGTTGTCGAAACACCAGCAGTAGATGACAAAGTTGAAACTTCAACTTAATAACGTTTCAATAAATTTATTTGGTGAGAAGTCCTTAAATATTTATAGAGTCCACTAGTCGACCCACCACAGGTCTTCATTTCTCCACCACAGGTCTTTATTTCTCTAGCACATTTTTTACATTTTGCTACAGCTCCAGACTTTTTGCGCAAAAAAAAATGCCACACAGAGTTTTTGTACTGGAGTTCTTTTTTAAAATCTTCGAATACTTTTGGTTTATCAACCATGGCTAGGGCAGCACGTTTTTGATTTACTATAATTTCCAGTATGAAAAATAATATTGAAATACAAAAGATATAAATATCAAAAATTTATAAAAATGAAGATAATGATATGAAGTTATATGAATTTAATATAATTATATGAATTATTTATAGAATTATATGAACTTTTCATATAGTTATATTATATGAAAATAAATATAACCTCTTTATACTAAATGAATGAAAAAACATAACTACATCTCTAATAGAGATGAAGTCGTGTCTATATAATAATATTATATAGACACACAAAGTTACGAAAATTCTTTGTTTTTATTTTTTGTTGTTACATTTATAAATATATATAAAACAAATAAAATGAAGCACAACTTGTGCTACAAGTTTGTTATCTTGCCTATTCATCGGCAAGATTATCTTGCCTGTTTTTAGGTTTGTAGGTTTTTTTATCTTGAAGATAAAAAGGCCTAAAAACATCTCTATATAATATAGAGAATCTCTATATTATTAATATAGAGATTCTCTATATTATATAGAGATGTTTCTATATTAGTAATATAGAGATTCTCTATGCAGGGCCGGCGCGAGTAGGTGTCACGTGAGGGGGGGTGGTGCCATTACAACTTTTGCCAACTTAAGAAAAAAAAAAAAAAAGGTCCTCGTTTTTGAAAATTTGCCGACTGCCATGACAACATTTTCCGACTAACTGTCTAATTTACCGACTAACCTATATCGAAAGGGTCAATATTTGCCGACTAACTAATCAAAAAGGGTCAAATTTGCCAACGAAGGGTCAAGTTTGCCGACTAAAAATTATTAATGGGGTGGGGGGGGGGAATTTGTCACACCTCCTACACCCCCCTATCGCGCCGGCTTTGTCTCTATATTATATAGAGATGTTTTTAGGCTTTTTTATCTTCAAGATAAAAAAACCTACAAACCTAAAAACAGGCAATCTTGTTACAGATAATCTTGATTGCAACATATAATCTTGCCTATGAATAAGCAAGATAACAAACTTCTAGCACAAATTGTGCTCCATTTTATTTGTTATATATATATTTGTAAATGTAACAACAAAAAAGAAAAACCAAGAATTTTTGTAACTTTGTTGCTGCACAACAAAACAAA